AAGTAAAGCATAAAATGGTCTGCACCCATTGCATAATGAAATTGTTTTAATATTCAGCAATTCTTCTGAAACAGTCTGGACTACAGTAAAGTAGGGCACATAATTAATTTTGTAAACAAGAAAAGGAAGTTGATTTTCTTACCTCAATTATCACATGCATGTCGAATTCTTTGGTGTCCAGACCAATCCCTTCATAGAATGTAGTACGTTGGCAATCATTTAGGTACATGGTCACATACACCTGCAAAGGATCACACACAAAAACTGTTAGAAGAGGAGCACAGTAACAATCTTCAGTGTGAACTGTTGGTCCATGCAAACAACGGAATAGCTCGGAGATTACCGAGAGGCAGAAGAACCGTGACCAGAGCTTGGCCTTCCAGTCGTTGAGGAACTGCGGCTGCGCCTTGAGCAGCGCGGAGAAGAAATCACCGTGACGGTTCTCATCCTGGCACCAGTTCTCAAAGTACTTGAAGATGGGGTACACCTGGTACTCCGGGTTCGCCTTGAGGTGCCTGAAGATGGTGATGTACCTCCAGTACCCAATCTTCTCCGACAGGTAGGTCGCGTAGAAGATGAACTTGGGCTTGAAGAAGGTGTACTTCCTAGCCTTGGTCAAGAACCCGAGGTCCAGTGCCAAGTTGAAATCAGACAGCCCCTTGTTCAAGAACCTGAACAGCATAAATCATGCAGACAATTCAGTTGAATTGCTTACTCAATTGAGTTGAAATGGACGCCCTAAAACTGAAGCTTAAATATTTTCTCTAGTCATGGTACAGTTCAATTTGAGTTGTAATGGCTGCTTGCAATCACATTGTGTCATTGTGCAAGGAAATAATTTAGAGTGTGTTACTACTACTTACCCAGCGTGCCGGGCCTCATCCCTGGACATGAGCGAGAAGATCTCAGCCACCACTGGGTTTGTTTTCTGCAAAAAAAAAAAAAAAGAAAAAAAAAGGAGCATTAGCAAGCGCCCACCAGGTGCTCGGTGAAATGCAAAGCAAGAAGCTAGACTGCAACTACGAACCTTGAGCCTGCGGCCGAGCTCCTTGTAGAGGAGGAACCCGGAGAACTCCGCGGTGCAGGAGCGCTCGAGGAACTCGACGAAGATCTGCCTGAGAGGCCCCTCCATCTTGTCGGCGGCGGCCTTGAACTCCGGGTTGCGGACGAAGTGGGTCTGGTTATAGTCCGTCTTGAACTCCTGCAGCAGCGCGTCGAACTCCTCCTGGTTGAGCTGCTTGTTGATCTCGGCGTTGAACAGCCGCTCCATCTCGTCGAAGTCCGTGGTGTAGAACCGCGGCGTCAGCAGCGTCTCCTGGATCTCCGTCTTCCCGCGCTTCTTGGGCGTCCCGGGCTTCGCCGCGGGCGGCGCCGCGGCTGACGACGCCACGCGGAACCGCACGATGCGCCTGGAAGACACGACGCGGGGCTTGGCGGCGGAGAGGCCGCGCATTGCCGCCGGGTTGAGGAGGGAGAGCTCCATGGCGGAGGAGGCCATTTCGTCAAACACCTGGCCGGGGCGGGAGGGGGAAGAAGAGTTTTGGGGGAGGGGAGGTGGTGGGCGGGTATATACATGGTGGGACGGATGGATGAGATAAGGTGGCGAGAGATGAGGTGTAATCTACGGCTATCTAATGGGGGCTCGCCATGTGTAACAGAGTGCAATCTAACCGCTAGCTCATCTCCTTCCCTTTTCATTATTATTATTGCCTCCATTTAAAATATTATTTCTTTTGGTTTCTTTTACAAGTTGGAATAGTGTTTATTGTTTTTCTGGGCAAAACAAGTTGTTGTGTTTGCTGGTTTTTTTGAGAATGCTCTTTTTGCCCCTTTTTTTTCTTTGTTTAGGAGAAAATCTTACTGTTTTCTTTTTGAGCATATAGCAATTGGATAGCAATTCTTCAAAGCTCATCTATGGAGAGACTATGGGCCCGATCGAGAGTGAGGGTGGGGGAATAACCCCTCTGGCACGGAAAACGGAGCAGGCCATTAGCACGTGATTAATTAAGTATTATCTAATTTTTTAAGCAACTTTTATATATAAACTTTTAACAAAAAAACACACCGTTTAACAGCTTGGGAAGCGTGCGCGTGAAAAACGAGGTGGTGGGGGCGTTTGTCCGTGGGAACGAGCGCACCCTATATCAAAATCTTGAGAAGTTGGCAAGTTGCGCAAACAGCATATACTAGGACTGTTCGCTGCGCTGCATCCATGTAACTTGTTCAAGTGTGGGTGTCTTCAAGGAATTTGGCTAACTGTGGCACACTTGTAGTTAGCATCGCTGCTACAATCAGCAGCGTTGAACAACCTTATTACCTTATTACAGTAGGTATACAATAGCAAGCTATAAGTCAGCTATAAATATATTTTAAGGAGATAAGAGCAAGTACAATAGTGCTATTAGGAAGGCTCTAAAACTTATCAATCATCCTAAAACGAGATTAAGGAAAGAAAATCACATATTGAGAAAGAAGCCGGTGCTTGCACAGCGCCTCACGCTGTATCGGCTAGGAGATACAATAAAAAAAATTCGTTTGTGGGTCCTACCGCTTGTTAATTCGTTTGAACCAATGTAGCTTATAACTAACTTGTAGTTAGTTTATTATATAAATTGCTCTTTAAGTTAGCTCTACCTGAGACATGACAAAATTTTAGAGCCTACTGCTAGCTACACTATTGACCTTGCTCTAAGAGCAAGTTAATAGTATAGCCAACTACTAGCTCCATATCACATACAATCAATTTAATAGCCAATTCATACAATAGTTACATACTACACTATTAATATCTGGTTCCACCTGTCATACACACACTGCGTCTTGGAGTCCGTGCTACAGCTGGCTACAAATCTGTAGCCCGTTGCTCTCCTCTCTCATGTTTTATCTCCTTAAATTATGTTTATAGCTGGCTTATAGCCTGCTATTGTACCTGCTCTAAAGGAGGAGAGAGGAGAGCTGCGGGCTACAGATTTGTAGCCAGCTACAGCACAGACTCTAAGACGCAATGTGTGTATGATAAATGGGACCAGATATTAAAAGTGTAGTATATGTTTATAGATAACTATTGTATAAATTGACTATAATTGACTATAGATGATCCGGAGCTAGTAGTTGGCTATACTATTAAACTTGCTCTTACATGGAAACCTAATTACATGTGATATTCGTAAACCTATGATTTAAATCCTAGGTTGTGTTCTTTCTCCCACCTTTCCCAACTCACCTCTATTATTTTCCACGCACACGCTTCCCAAACTACTCCACGATGCATATTTTGTAAAAAAAAAATCTATAGTAAAGTTGCTTTAAAAATCATATTAATCTATTTTTAACTTATTTTAGCTAATACTTAATAAATCATACACTAACTATTACTCCGTTTTACGTGTTGGGAGCGAGAGGGTCCCCAATTAATCCTTACTCCCGAACTCAACACTAATAGATGAAGTTATGCACCCATGCCACATAGGATTTAAGTAACACGAACCGGTAAAACCCTTTCTAGAATTCCTTTAAACTCACAATGTGATACACCCTGTGAGCAATAAAACTAACCAAACTGCCTGGTTTGTAGTTTAGTGAAAAGGACTAAGATGTGATGTCGAAAATGAGAGAAACAAGAGGCGCACAAGCTTCCTATGTGCTAATGTTCACAGGCTGCGCTTTCTATGTGCACGAACAACGAATCTCTTTTGTTTTTCCTCGCAAAAATAATTGAAAAAACGGAGCAAGATTTTGGCAGATATGTCCAACGGGTTTCTTCAAGGTTCAAGTACTGGCTAGGACGGAGCCACGTGTCTGGCCAGGAATATAACATGTCGTGGCAAGAGAAAATGGGGAGAAAACCTATATATCTAGTGGATGACATATCACAGGCATAGTCTAAAATGAAATATGTGCATGCATGATGGACCACATTTTTGTAACTTGTAAAATATCACTGGAGTCAGCCAAAAAATCTCTTCGGACTTGGCAAACGAGGTGCTATAATCCATTGGCAAAATTGGTTATGAGAAGATCAAAAGTTCAGTTTTATAACATCATACAAAGTTACAGGTTAGCTTTGTCGGAAAAAAAACTTAATATATATAGCGATTGTTTATGTTTTTGCTGCAAATCATTTCCATCACCTTAATGGCCCTGTTCGGTGCAGCTTGCTGCTGCAGCCGTTGCAACTACACCAACATAGTTATTGTAGCGGCTGCACAGCCATGCAAAAAAGTTGCAGTGAATAGGGCCAATATTAAGGATGGATTCGGTCAAGATAGGTCAAAAACAGGAAAAATATGTTAGCCGCCACGACGAAAACACAAAATAAAAAACTATAGGTAGAATTTTAGGTGCTAACAAATTTAATCCATATCTTTCAGGTAAATATACCATGTACACTTAAGTTTCACATGCACACTCCGTACACACGAACTAACAAATATCATCGAAAAATCTAAAAAAAATTTGTGCATATAGTTTCAATAGTTTTATACCTACATATAAAATCTTAACCTCAAATTTATTATATTTTAGCTATAAAAATATTACTATTTTATACTACAAGTCTGTTAGAATTTTATCTTTTTTGTTGTTCTCCGTGTACGATGAATTTAAAAATGGGACTTTACTTGTAGAAGCAATACTATTGAAAGCACATGGATAATTTTTTTGATAATCACTAGCTCATATGTACCGTGTGTACATGTGAGAACTTGTGTAATACGTTCCCATCTTTTAGAGCTATAAATCGAAAATCATAGACTTGGCTTGCTTGATTCAGTCATATTTTGCTTATTTACCAACAATTACTTAACATGTAGGTGCTCAAAATCTTTGCACACCTTAGTAAGTCTACGTGAATTTTACCATACTTTTTGAGCCATTGACGTGTGGAATCTAATTTATTGAAAGAAAATCTTACCATAACCGCGACGGCAACAAAACAACCTTAATGTTAACAAATCAACCATTTTCCCCGCGATGTTCACGCATTGGTATTCTTCCGTGCAAACAAAGGAACAATCTCAGGTATTCAAGATAACCATCAGAAATGTGTACCCAATTTACACCTACAATTTTTCTGATTTCTCCAACTTGCTTTAGAGCCAAAACGCCCAAAAAGAATAATTTAAATTTGCAACAACTAGAGGCATCTGGGGACGTCATAATCGTTCTGAATTTACATGGTGGCTCACCGCCGTCGGAGTACTCTCACAGTCCTCGTTGTGCCACCGGCCGGCCATGAATGGGTCCGGCGCTGCCGGTGCCGCTCCCCGATCCTTGATATGCACGCTGACATCGTTCTTCTCCATCTCGTCGTAGTCCAGCCCCCGCAAGATCGCCGGGATGATGCCGCCGTTGCGGCCCATCTCCAGGTCCACCTTCTCCTTCACGCCGCCGGTGAGATCGGCCCCGTTCCTCGGCGGAAGCTGCCCGCTGACGTCGTCCGGCTCCTCCAGCGGCGGCGGCGCCACCCATGACCGGAAGTTGTTCATCGACGGCGGGATCCCAGCGCAGAACACCTCTGCTATGTTCGATATAGCACCCCTGTTATACGGGTTCTCCTTCTTGTCGTACCTATATCTGAAGTTCTCGTACGTTGTCTGCAGTAGAGAAGCATCACATCAGTGATCACAAATATTTTTTTCAGAACAAATTTTGTATCGATTTCAAGTAAATCAATCCTAGATCAGGATTTACTTGAAATCAAAATGTGCAATTTATGTTCATTAAAATCTCGATCCTAGATCGGAATCGGAAGTTTCTTTTAAAAAATATATTAAAAATGGTAAATAATCATAGTTCTAGGTAAGGTTACAATCATAAAATCGTAAATAATCATAGATTCAGGCCTTCGATCGTAAAGTCATAAATGGTACGATAGAATCGAGAATTTGACAACCTGGTCACTAAGTAGTGATGAGCATGATAATTTTGTCGCGAAATTGGACATCTTTGTGACAATTCTTGCGTGCATTTTCTTCAGGAAAGAACTCAACAAACAATTTAACAACATGGCTTGATGCGGCCTACCTGGTTTGTGCTCATGAGGTAGAGGTGGAACACGGTGAGGCCGCCGACAAACCACACCGAGACGAAGGTGTACACGATCAGCACGACGGACAACGGCTCACCGGCCATGGATTTCAGCAGCGAGCCGTCGTTGCCGTCCTTATGCGCCACGATGTTCAGCCAGGACACCACGAAGACGTAGACGCAGAGGAGGGTCGACGTCGAGATGAACAGGAAGAAGAACCGGTAATTCCGCTGCACAAAATGCGAAAACAATCCTCCGTCTCATCAAATATATCATCATTGGTATTTTATCGAGTGGATTATCTACTTGGTTGTAGGGATTAATCAAATATTTAGAAAAATAAATTTAACAAATAGTTTAAAACAACGCAGTAGAAGAAGTTTTTTTAAGAAAACTTATTTTTTTCACGAACATGAAAAAAGATTACACATCAATATATCAAAAGAAAAAAGAGTTTAGTTACACAACACAAAACGGCTATATTGCCATTATTGGAGAATAAAGAAAGAAAAAACCGAAAAAGGAGAAGACTGATACTAAGGAAAAAGGCTACTTAAAAAGGAAAAAAAATAGCAAGGAAGGGCAGAGGCAGAGGAGCCCACTGTACTTTCAGCAAACCCCCAAACTTATTTTTTAATGCTTGAAGTAAATAATTCGTTTAAGTAATCCGGTGAAATAGCTGGAAACTTGTTTTTCGAAGCATGAAGTAAATAATTTGTTTCAGTAATTCAATATATCAGCTTAATAATGTACAGTACTACATCAGTAACAGTATGGTGCTCACCAGACCGATGCACTGGCCGACCCAGGGGCAGTGGTGGTCGAACTTGCGGACGCAGTTGTTGCAGATGGAGCAGTGGGAGGCACGTGGCGGCCTGTACAGCAGGCACGTGTCGCAGTACTTCACCTTCACGACGCACCCGTTCACGACCACGTCCTTGCTGCGCGGCAGCCGGAGGTGAGGGCTCGCCGCCGTCACCCACTCCGCCGACGGCGTCGTCACGTCTCCGGCGACCCCCTCCTCGTCGCCGCCGCCGCACGACTCCGGTGGCCGCGCGTTCCTCGGCACGATCCCCGGGTCCCTGCTCGATGTCATCAGCAGGAATGCCAAATCCTGAACTCGAAATTGATCCATGAAAGGGGAAGAAAAAAACATGAGCTGTTGTGTTACAATTATTCAGACAAAAAAAAAGCATGAGCAGTTGTGACAGATTATTCAGACAAGAAAAAACACGAGCAGTTGTGACAGATTATTCAGACAAATAAACAGCTGTAGTTAGTGGTGATGATTGCTGAATTTCAGAATTTGTGACTTACTGCTAGGCCAAGAACGATGGTGGCAATGAGGACAGGGAGGCCAAGAACTTGTTTCTCTGAACTGATCGAGTTCATCTTTGTGATGCATTGGCAGCATAGGCCTACCAGAGGAGCCACTATGAGCACGGTGGACAGGAACAGAGAACCCGCATCCGGACCGAAAATCAGGCGTCCGCCGCAGAGAAATTTCTGAAAAAGAAAAAAATGGAGAAAGCAAAGCTGTCTGTCATCTCAAAGTGTAAACAAAAAAAATATTGATCTGAATTTCACAAGGATTATCACAACAAAAATTGCAGGTTGCAAGAAGATTTTCAAAGAGAAGTAATGGAAGGAAGAGAGAGGCGAGATGATCGTATCGTGTCGTACGTTGCTTCCCTGCCAGACTTGGTACAACCTCCTCTGGTTTGGCTCCCCCATGAACAATCTATCTTTCTCTCCCTTGAATCCTGATCAACACCAGCAGTCGATCGCCGCCGCCGCCGCAGCGCGCGTAGCTTCGTCCCGTCCTCCGGCCGCCGGCGCCGTCACAACGCGGCCATGACCGACGAAGAGGCAGGTCAGCTTCCTATCTCTTTCTCATCGCCTTCCTGCCATGGCCATGGCTTCTCCAGCTCTCTCGTGCTCTGTTTTTTCTTTTTTTTTTCTTTCCGCGGGAAAGTGTTGGAAACGAGACGAAGCTAGGCTTAACGACCGGGCTGGCTACCTGCCGGCTACACACCCAACGTGCCCGCCTGCACTGGCGCTGCGACAGGGTGGATCCATTTGGCCGGCGCGGGTAGATTGTGGCCCACCTGTCGGTCGGTGCACTAGCCCGCCTTCACGTTCAAATATTCTCTCCCACCTAGCCAATCACTCATCAGAGCTTATTATTTCGCCAAAAAAAAATCTGATTAGAGAAAATTAACGAGTTTATTAATTTTGTTTCACAGAGAAAAACTGCAATCTCCTTTCTGTTTTCAGGAAATGTGATATCGTTTACTATGATAATACTATCTTTTTTTCTTTGCTCTGATCCAAATCAGACAATTTTAGAGAGGGCTCGGAAAAATTAAATTCGTCAAATATTGCAAATGTTGGGAGAGCAGGTCATGGTCTGCACGTACGTGACTTAGTCTACAAAAATAATCGAAACAAAATTGAAGCAGAGCCCACGGTAGTACGTGCCAACAACTAACGTTTAATCTTTTCCATTTTTTGGAGATCATGATCTTGATTTTGATATTGGATTGATGCTTTGGGCAGTACTATCTTTGCCCAATTAATCCTACAATTTGCGGGACTTGCAGGACCAGATCTAATTTAAATATTTAAACCCTTCACAAAATTAGTAGTCGCTCATATGTAAATGTTTGGTTTCCATGCTTTTAGCCCATGTGATTTGAGCTTAATTTGGACACGGGTGGTGGGCAATTAGGCTGAAGACAAACGGCCCTAGTTTTGATCGAAGAGATCAACTGCAACTAATTAATCCTCTGTGGGCAAAACTTTTTGGGATAAATTCAATCAGTAGCCTCCACTTGTAATCTTGTATAGCTCCTGTTGATTACCCAATCACCTGGCAAGTGGCAACAACTGGATGATTCTGTCGACATGATTCGATATAATGGGTTTCAAGTTTGTTGATTTTTATCTGGTAGGTTTAGAGGGTTGTGCACTTGTGCTCTAAGATTGGTGGAGGTTATTATATTAGCCTTAGGTTGTCCAAACTTATGATAGCAGCTACTAGCAATTGTGAATGGTTAATTAAAAATCTGTAAATACACTCAAAATCTGAATTATTCCTTGCTTTTCCAAAAAAAGGAAGGACACTCAACACCATACTTCGAGATCCAAGACTGACCCTAAAACCATACACTCACAAAAGGCAAGAAAAAAAATGGAATTCAGCAATCAAAAATAAAATGAAAATGAAAAAAAAAAGAGAGAGATAGAGAGAGAGAGAGAGAGAGAGAGAGAGACACCAATCAGATGACATTAACCGCGAACGGCGTCCGGACGGAGTGCGCGCCGTCGGACCAGGTGACGGCGCCGTGCACGTACCCCTTGCTCGCCCCGGCGCCGGCGCCGGCGCCGCCGCTGGCGATCTCGAAGCTCACCTGGTACGCCGCCGTCGTCCACCTGCTCGAGAACACCAGCCGCTCCGGCGACACCTTCACGGCGAGGCCGGGGGGCGCCTCGACGGCCGCGGCGTACGTCGCGTTCGGTGGCCCCACGTTCATGGCGACGCGCGACACGGTGGCCGTCCTCCCGGCGAGGAGCCGCGGCACGGAGATGGACGGGTAGTTGACGCCCGACGCGATGAGGTCCGGCGACGGCGCGCCGCGCGGGCACGCGAAGGCGGCGCCCGCGGCGCCAGCGCCGGCGAGCTTGCGGACGAGCTGCTCCTTGTAGCCGTAGTAGCAGAGGAAGTTGAGGTAGTCGCGCGTGGTGGTGTCGAACACCAGCCCGGGGCTGAGCGCCCGCAGCGGGCTGATCTCCCCGGCGCCCATGTCGTGCCCCGTCGCCGCCGCGCCCGTGCTGCTCGCCACCGCCTGCCCGAGGTTGTTCCTCGTCGTCGCTGCCAAAATCAAAACCGATCGATCGATCAATCAATCGGACACGCCTCTGCTCTCGTCGCGTTCTTGATTCGATCGGCTACGTACCAGTGGTCATGAGAGCTGATCTGATCATGGACGGCGACCAGCCTGGGTGCGCCGACTTGACGAAGGCGGCGGCGCCGGCGACGTGCGGGCAGGCCATCGACGTGCCGGACTTGATGGCGAACGGCGACGGGTTCTTGCCGGCGGGCACGTCCTCCTTGTCGGCGGTGGGTATCGTCGCGGCGAGGATGCTCACCCCCGGCGCCATCAGATCAGGCTAACCAAAAACCAACACGCAGTCAAAATGGAAGTTACCGCCATTTATCCTTCTAGAATTTTACCAGGTGATCATTCATCCTAATTCAAAAAGTACTATCGACGAACTCAACTTCCTTAAAAATACCGTCGTACAAGTGTCTTTATCCAAACATACTATCATCGTTAGGTTTTCGTTAGCAAACTCCGTTTAAATGCTACTATAAGAAAGCCATTTTACCTCTTACGCATTGTTGTACGCTGACGGAAAGAGCGAGAATTTCAATCAGCTTTCAACGAATTGTAGGGGGTAAAATGTTTTTTTTTTACCCCAACGATACCTTGAGGATGGCTTCGGTGAGGCCGCCGGGGCCGCGCGCCGAGAAGCTGGCCACCACCGGCGCCGGCTTGTCGTCCTTGGCGTCCTCGGTTGGGAGGATCACAGCCGTCGGATTCCTGCACCGGGGGCAACATCAGCCGTCGGATCACGTAACAAAACATGGTTAGTTGATGACGGCGACTCACTTGGTGGAGTTGATGTACTCGAGGATCTGCGCGCCGGCGTCGGTGGCGACCTGGGAGAAGGGGAAGCCGCCGGCGACGAAGGGGACGGCCTTCTCGGCGTCGTCGATGAGCACCAACCCGCTAGCGCCGGCGCCCTCGGCGACCAGCTTCTTCACCCGCCGCGACACCATCGGGTCCGTGCCCACGCACACCACGATCTTCCCCGCCGCCTTCTGCGCGTCCAGCGACCCGGGGTAGCAGTTGCTGCACAGTGCATGGTGTGATGAGCGACGCAGCTCAACTGCTCGGCGATTTGCCTCCATGGGAAAGAAGGTTGCTAGTATAGTCTACTACTACTAACCTTGCCTCCGACACCGGCGTGTACCGGCCGGCCACCTGTGGCCCGAACACCAGCGGGTACTGGCCTCCGGTGATGCTCTGGTTGGAGAAGTTGATGGCAATTCCCTGCCATTGACGAGGAGAAGGGATTGAGGTCTCATTCATGGCCAAGAAGTGAGGCATGGCGATGGTATGATTACCTTGACGAGGGTGCCGTTGCCGAGGACGATGGTGGAGTGGAAGGAGCGGTCGATGCTGGAGGCGGCGACGGTGAGGATCCAGGGGGCGGAGTTGACGACGGTGTAGGGGTTGGGGCCGTCGTTGCCGCCGGAGCAGACGACGAGGACGCCCCTCTGGTGGGCGTGGAAGGCGCCGAGCGCGATGGGGTCGGCGAGGAAGTCGGACTGGAAGGCGGAGCTCATGCCGATGGAGATGGACACCACGTCCACGCCGTCGCCCACAGCGTCGTCGATGGCCTTGAGCACGGCCGAGCTCGCGCACCCGCCCAGCGAGCACGCCTTGTACACGGCCACGCGGCTCGCCGGCGCGCCGCCCTTCGCCGCGCCGCGGGCCAGGCCGTAGTACCCCGCGCCGGGCACCACCGCGCCCGCCGCCGTCGACGCCGTGTGCGTGCCGTGCCCCACGGCGTCCCGCGGCGAGCCGCCTGTCGCCGTCACCGCCCCCGCCGCCGACGACGACGACGCCGAGCCGGGCTGGCTGCCGTAGTACCGCGCGCCGATGAGCTTCTTGTTGCAGCTGCTCTTCTTGAAGTCAGGGCCTTCCATGCACACGCCGCGCCACCGCGCCGGCACCGGCCCCATCCCGGCGTCGCTGAAGCTCGCCGACTCCGGCCACACACCTGTCGCCGTCCACAGTAACAGTAGTGACATCACACCACAACGTCAGAGCTCTGGACACACACGACGCAGGCCAATGTCACGTGCCACGTGTCGCTCACCGGTGTCGACGATGCCGATGATGACGTCGCCGGAGGCGCGGCGGCCGAGGCGGTCGGAGCGGAGGCCGGACTGCACGTCGAGGAAGTCCCACGACCGCGTCGTGTGCAGCTCCAGCGCGCGATCCCTGAACACGGACACAACCCTCTCGTGCCCTGCAAAACAACAACAAAAAAAGATTCACCACCGTGGCGGCGGCGCGATCACGGCGATCGCCGGGAAAGGAATCGATCAAGAACAATGGATCGGATGGTGGTTGGCGGTGGCCGGACCGGACAGCGCGGCGGCCTCCGCCTCGGTGAGCTCGGCGGCGAAGCCCTGGAACGCGTGGTGGTAGCTCTGCGTCAGCGCCGCCGCCGCCCTCCCCTGATCGTCGCCGGCCGGCGCGACGGACGTCAGCATCTCCATGTGCATCGCCCGCGCCGCCTCCTCCTCCACGCCGGCGCCGGCGCCGGCGCCGCCGCCGCCGCCGCCCATGTAGACGACATACGACTGCAACAAATTCCATCCAACATTGATTGGTCACAATAACCACTATGATAAATTGATAACTCATGCAAATTATGCAATTAACAATCTGCTCCAACTCTTGCAGGTGCAATCTAATGGTGATCAACTGATCATGGTCAAAATCTACCTCTCTGGTCTGGTCTGGCTCGGCTGAGAGAGGTACCAGGAGGCGGTAAACGAGGACGAGGATGACGAAATGTGCGCGGTTCACCATGGATGGAACTTCTCAAAGATCACTGAGCTTCAGTGAAGCAGGTTGCAGTAAGGACACACACACCACACTAGCTAGCTTCCCTTCCTACTAATATATATATATGGCTAAATATTTTGCTCGTGCAAAATTCCTCTGAAGTGCAAGTTCTAAGTAGGAGATGATATGATATGAAACTCTTCAGAATGGGGCCCAATTTGTAGCTGGAATTCTGCCTTGCTTTTCTGATGGCTGCAGAATCAGATTCATCTGAACTCTGACTGGCCTCTTTATGTACCCTTCTATCTCTTTTGATGATTCTTTAGTAGCTCCTCTCTTTCCATGGGAGCATGGCAGATAGAAACTTCTCATGGTGATCCGCTAGTCGCCGTTGTTGTCGTCGTCGCCGTCACCTGACCAGCCACATGGCTGGTTGAGATCAAAATTAATTCTGCCCAAATGATTGTTTTCTGACGAGATTGCTTGGCTGCGAGGAATGGAATATGTGCGGTCTGACACTGTCTCTACTTGGTGGAGATGAAGCCTTGCTTTGCTTTGCTTGCCTTTGCCTTTTTTTTTTCCTCTTGCACTTAAATTAGGCTTATCATTTCATTGATCTCATTCTGAAGCTTTAGTTAGTGAGCAATTAGCAGTCTGCATTTGGTGTCCTACAATTGCATTGTTTCTTGGTTAATGATCTGAATATCTCCAGGTGGTTGCTGATCTGAAAGGCAACTAGATGTTAGTACTGAATAAATTACTACAAGGAAAGTGATGGATGATCACAAAGTTAGTTAAGAGTGTGTGCTGTGTTGTTACCTGTTTTAACCACACAAAATTCTTGTCAATAGATTGGGAATCAGAGCTAATCATGTCGGTGCGTTATGACAATTGTTGACAAAGCTGAGGCAGGCTGTTTTTGGTCACCTGGCTGTCTTCTTTTGAGTGAAGAATTCCATGGAGCACATATATCAGCTTGCCTTTAGTTAGTGTCAGTCGTTTTCTGGTAGTTGAGCTCTCATCTCAACTCTCAGGCATCACCAGAACACATTTTTTTGCAACAGATTTGCTTCTTTCTTCTTCTGATCAGTGCCCCTTTTCTCTCTATCTTTCTTTCGTTCTTTCATATTGAATGCGATTGTAATATCCAAATAACCCAATAGTGGGATCGATCATCGACAACCGATGATTGCTTTTTAATGGGGCTGAAGATCCAAGGTGATGATCAGATCATACTGATCGTGATCAAAGATGCTAGGAGTAAAGTGAGAAAGTAAACAAGAGATGTGAGTTATACTGACCATCAGTACCGGCACATGAGAAAAAAGTGTCTTCACAGCACACACCGACTGCTTTTGCTCCTTCAGAAGGCAGCGTGCCAACGGAGTGTTCTTGCTTGATATCTATATTTGCTACCGATCAGGCCATGATCCCGGTGATCTTGCAAAGAAGAAAGCCCGAATTGTTTGTCGGTGCAAACGGTTGCAGTTCATTCATCCAGACAGAAAATCTGGCTCTCTTCCATCCAAAATTCAGACCAGCTGTTACCTGAACAAATTTGAACCATGAGTCATTCAAGTCCATTTTGTACTACCATCTTCTTTATAGTTCTTTCAGCAGAAAACATCAAAATATTTATAACAAAAACTAAAAATGGTTAGTTACTCTTACACACACACCAAAAAAAAAACTAATAACTGAAAAGGAGTTTTGTGAGGTTATGTGGTGATTGTTCCTTCCTTGGGCATCGAAGCATCAAGGGCCCTAAAGAGAGAAGCGTGGGGGCAGTAGAACACATGCAGGCAACAACACCATGTAGCCAAGCAAGGCAAGCAAACAAAGATTCTTTCCAGCAACTTAGGAAACTAGGAATCCATCTTATGAGACTGTCAGACTGATGCTGAAAAAGGTCAAAAACATAGTCAGCTACGGCCATGTTCAGTTCCTACGATAGAGAGATTACAAATTTTGTTTCCACAAAAAACATCGTGGTTAACATTTCAAGAACTTGTGACGGTACACCATCAAGTCACAAAGATGGCTCAAGAAGGCTAAATTTCAGATAAATTTTACAACCACATCAACAGGAAGGGCATCAGAAAAAAAATCGAAAATGGCACTCTTCAGATTGTTCACATCGTGCCTGACAAAGTGGCAAACAACAAACAAACCCGAATTTGCTCCAGTTATTTCCTTGTCCAGGTTGATCCTTTGTGCTTTAATCAACATCAGGTCAGACGAAAGAGTTGTGAGAGGCCCTAACAAAACACATCATGGAAGTGTATATACAGGCAAATACCTCACAAATATAGAGTGCAGCACAGCAAGGCTTCTTGAAATTTGCTATGATTTTGAGTTTTTGACAAACACAGAAGGCATCAAGGTGCATATGATATTTCCACTATGGGAACACACATTAGATTTAGTGGTACTTCTGTAGGACAGCTAAAGCCTAAAGGAGAAAAAGGAGGGACATGTTAGAAGAAAATTTGTTCAGTACTGGGCTTTGTGTGTTTTTAACGGTGACCGGTTTATCCATTATCTAAAAAATACAAGATGAAATTTCATCGGGAAAGAAATAATCACATTTTGCAAACATTGTGTTTCATATTTTGAACAGCAAAATTCGCTGGGCATCAGCTTAGGAAATACAGAGACGGATGAACAGAACATAGAGGTGTACAGAAGAACAGCGACCGACATCACTGCTGGTTAGACGTTCTTGAGCTTCTTCATCTTGGATGGTGGCCATCTACCTTTCTTCCTCAGCCGCCTCTTCTGGACAAGCCTCCTGCGCCGCTGCCTCAGCTTCTTGGCCAGCTTCATCTTCGCCCTCTGCTCCATGATCATCTTCTGCTTAGTTTCGAGCGGCATTGTCTCAATCGAAACCGTGGGTTTTGGCTCCTCTGGTTGATCTGTGCCAGCTTCTTCTGCGCCAGCCTCTGCCGAGGCATGGACAGAAACTAGCCTCTTCTTGGTGAAAGAAGCATTCAGAGGGCTCTGCGAGGAGAGATTCTTGCACTGGAGCCTTGGGGCTGTAGCATCAGAAAGGACAAATGGCAAGCCTCAATGTGCATCATTTTAGATATAGAATTCAGAGTACATGCATGCTACTTTCAAAATTTTGATAGAATCTCCGTCATATAAGAAACTTGAAAGCTAATAAGTCTAGCTCATGTGTGCCACTTCATGGATAGTATATAGTACAATAACTAGTAACAATCCTAGTGTTCTCAATTACATATTATGATGAATCTTAGCAGAGCACAGATATGTAAAATCTACTCATCTATTAACAATCAGGCCCCAAATGTAGGGTGTACTACGAATGTCACCCTTTGCCAGTGACCGGTGCTTACATAGCATCTGATATTATCATTTAAGCACGAAAGAACCAAAGCTTCGAGAATCTGCAGAGTTCACTGAGATGAATTATACCTAGCTTTGTACAGAGATGATAAATGCACGGAATCTCCCACGAATTACTGCATCTGCACACGACGTGTTTGAAGAAATTCCCTAACGAGCCAACCGCATCCCAGAGAATCAGAAACGCCACGAATCACCAACGTCAAATATCTAGACCAATCCTCCCACCGAATTACAAATCACACCTCACAACAATGGATAGCCTCGTACCCACTCAGCATAATCCAATCCAAGAACCAACACCCCACAACCCGAGTAACTTATGCGCAAAAGTCCCGGTACGGAGAAGGCGTTCACGGAGGTTACCGGGGATGGTGGAGGCGACATTGGCGGAGGCGGGGAGAGCTCTGGCGCGAGGCGGGGAGGCGGAGGAGGAGGCGAGGAAGGAGACGGTCGGGGAGAGGAGCAGCGCCATGGCCACGGGCAGTGTGGGATTCGGCTTCTTGGCCCGTCGTCAGCCTATCCACCCATCAGCCCGGAGGGAGGAGATAAGCCTGTGCTGCTGTGAGCGCTCCGCCGTCCGATGGAGAATCAACGGCCAGATTTAATCTCCGTCAAGTAAGGCTGCTTGGCAGTTGGCCCACATGTCATAGGTGGAGAGAAATTTTGATTTTGATTTTCTTTTTCTCCTCTCGCCGCCTCCGCCGCCGCCGCGGGTGGCGGCGACAATCCGCATCGGCGGCGTCCCCTCCGCCCGGCCGCGCTCGCCGTCGCGTCCTACGCCGCCGCCGGCCGCCACATCCTGCGTTCGACGTGGATAGCAAGAGGTGGGGGAGCTCGCCGACGACAAGAACCTCCCGTTCGACGGCCAAGCGGGTGCCCATCGGTGATGAGAAGAGCAGCTAGCGACAACCTCTTCGTCTCCCACTCCAAGCCGAAGCACGCGCCGGCGCCGCCGTGTACCGCATCAAGAATGTCTCCTCCTCGTCGTCGCCGTCGCCGTCGCCGTCGCCGGCGTAGAGCAGTTTCAGCATCGAGGACGAGGAGGTGTCTGTACAGGAGCTGCTGCCAATGGTTGATCCGGGTCGTCAGCTCTCGTGCGCCATTGGGGATGGAAGCTTCTGCTCCTTCAGCTCGCGGACACCCATCAAGATTATGGAGCGTGCAGAGATCCTCCAGCCGAGCGTAGCTTCGACATGGACATCAATGCTGCCGGAGAGGAGGATGAGGATGATGCACGAGCCATCGTTGTATCAGTGTCAGAGAAGATTTACAGAATCTACGACAAGTCTCGCAGGCTGGCTCGCAGGGTTCAAATTTCCGGTTCGACCAAAGTTTTTTTTATTCTTTTGTGTGAATTTAGTAATATTTATTCAAATTTGACCAAATTTTGTTCGAAAATTCAAATAATTCTGGACCAAATTTCGGTATATCAGCACCCCAATACAAATACTGAAAACGAAAAATTGAACCATGGGCTCGCCAAGCGCCACTGATTGCTACATTGTTTATCTAAGAAAGCTTTGAGTGGGGTCGGAGACGCCTTGCGACAACATTGGCAAACTCCTCTTTGTGGGAACGACGACGACAGTTGGAGATGGTACAAAAGCGAAATTCTGGGACTTTGCTTGGTTGCAAGGGAGAAGGCTTAAGGAAGTTGGCCCCTCTGGTCTAAGCGACTTTCTGGAAGAAAAACAGAACTCTACAGTAGGCCACCAAATCTGGCCAATGGCTACTCGACATCAACCTATCGGCGATTGCAACTAGGATGACCAAACTAATCAGTCAGCTCGTCACTGTCTGGAATGCAGTCCAAGAAGTGCATCTCGTAGAGGGCGAGGAAGACACGACCACTTGGAAGCTAACCAACCATGGTGAGTATATGGTGGCATCAGCCTACAAAGCGCAACTCCTAGGCACAACAAAGTCAGAATTTGATACCCTCATTTGGAAGCCATGGGCCCCATGAAAGAGCAAGATTTTGCATGGTTGGTGATCTATAATAGAGTTTGGACATCGAATAGATTGGTAACACGTGTTGGTAAAACATCTACATATGCCCCCTATGTCGTTGGACACAGGAGACGACCCTCCACCACTTGACAGAACGTAGATATACAAAGAGAATTTGGAGAACCATGTTAGGGTGGACGTCCTGCGACAAGCTAATACTCGTCTTGTGGGAACCAACCACGACGATGCAGAAATGGTGGAAGGCAATCGCTAACACAAGGGGAGTGCCAAGGCAGGCGAGCACCTTGGTGTTGCTAGTCTCCTGGGAGATATAGCAATAAAGGAACCAAAGGATATTTCAACACAAAGAACTATCTGCACCGGATATTTCAACACAAAGAACTATTTGCACCAAGCCTAGTCAGCAAGATTAAGGAGGAGGCCACAACATGGGCCGAGAAGGGGCTAGGAATTAAGCTTGTTGTGTGGCTGCCTTAGCCATAGCAGACCTTAAGGGCCAAACATGTACTTTTACACATTTTTCTTGTTGTATAGTTTTTTTTTTCTGCTCAATTCAATCAAATTTAGGGATGAAAACGAAGCGGATACGAACAGATAATGCTCATACCATATTCGTTTTCATATTTTTTACCGGACACGAAAACGAATACGGATAGCTCGAATACAGAAACAAATACGGATTATCTCGAATACAAATAAGAATCGAATATGATCAGACACGAATACAGAAACAATTTTTTCTCGGAACACGAAAACCAACTCAACTTCTAATAGAAACAAATATCAACATATATAATTAGCTCATTTTATATAAAATGAAGTATAATTTATAAATATTTTTTAAGAAATAAATAATATTAATAGTATGGACTAGTGTTAAGAGATAAACTACAATTAAAATCTATTTGAAGGTTATAGAGTTAGAAAGAAATGCGGTATGTCTCATGGCTTCTGTGGATATCCGAATAGTACTGTTCACCGGATATCCGAATTATTATCAGTATCCGACTGAAACCCTGATACCATAGCGTTATTCGTATCCGTATCCGAACTATCCGATCCGAAAGGTATCCGTATCCGTTTTTGTCCATAGCGGACGGAAATTATCCGCTCCGTTTTCATCCCTAATCAAATTGTCGCTCTTCAATTCATTAAAAAAAAGGAACTACAATATGCAATTTATGAATATATAAATTGATTGTTTGTTGCCTTATTTGGTACTAACATTATACGCCTCTATGCAATTGCTTCTCATTCTTCAAGTACCAATCAAATAGTTATAGAAAAATCAACAAAAAAAATTGATGACGTTTATATAATATATAGACTAACTTGAAAAATTTCAAGTACAAATTCATGCAGTGAGTCAAAATAATTAAATTCAATTATGGATAGTACTAACACGGCTCATAGCCAAATTTCTTTATGTTTCTTTCTTCTTGTTTTTTTTTTGCAAGATGTGTATATTTGAATTTAGTGTTTCATGTTGGTGAAGTGACATAGGCCATTGTTGCAATCCATGCATATTAATGTTCTTTTTTAAAAAATATATTCCAACATGAATGAGTTTATTTGGTTTCTCTTTGATTGGATTTATATTTAGCATTAATGTAGATACACCTATTATGTAAATTCTTTTAACTATATGATTAATGTTTAAGTAGTGAAAAGTTGAGTCGCTAAATTGAGCTCCTGATTTCTTTTACCTCGAAAGGATATCTTCTTGTTTCTTATGTGCCACTCAAATAGTTCATAGATTGAGGACTGCGCTACGCGCAGGTGGCAGGAGCCTGTGGCTTGCTCCTTGCCGGCCAGCGTTCGACTCCCAGACTCGATGCTCGTCCCTCATTTTTGGGACTCACTTCGGTTGGTCCCAAGTAGATAATAGGGTACACACATGCGTGCGTGTTCAGTGGGTCTGTGCGGGAAACACACATGTGAGGATTTGTGCGGGAAACGCACATGTGAGGATTTAGGTCCTCAAAGTCTACATTTGCGTGTGTTGAACGCGCACGTGTGTGTGTGTGCATGTAGTGTTGCGTTGTGTGAGTGTGGAGTGAGTTCGTGTGTGCATCCTCGTTGTACTCTCTCAAAAAAAAATAGTTCATAGATTCGTAGACGCGCTTAGGGCTGTAAGTGGGTCAGCCGCGAATCCACTTATAGTTCAAAATAAGCGGGTTCGCGGTTTATTTTAGCCTATAAGTGGGTTTCGCGGGTTAGCCACTTACACCCCTAGACGCGCTCTCCACTCGTCTTGTTACCCGACCGCCTCGCAATGCTAGCTTAATGATTTTGCCCCGCTTTGGCAAGATATTATGACCACATGTTCTTCTTTGTTATTCGTGAGTGAGTTGCTGCAATCTATTGTGATATGTTTTTTCCTTTTAGCTAGGAAAGCAACGCTTTCCCATTTCTATATATCAGAAATGACAACTGTAGCAGATCCTGACAAAAAAACAAACTACTACTGAAAGGCTACTTCCTTTACACCGAGCTTCACACGGGGGTAGGAAGTCCTTCAAGGACATACTACAACACGATAGTCAAATCATAATAATACACTCGACAGATACAATTCTCAAAATAGAAGTAGGGTATTACTTTTCATCGAGAAGGTTTGAATCTGTCTAAACTCTAAAATCTTGTTCCCATCAATCCATCTACTCTACGTGCTCATGTGTTGCTCCTTTATTATTGCTGATATAAAACATCGACATCTACAATCTCCAACTTGTCCTTGATACTAGAGCTATCGTCACAGTATATCCAATAGGTGACAGCTCTACGTTGAGAATGGCCGGCCGTGCAGCCGCGCCGGAGCATCTCGATCCATGTCTGTCTTGCGATGATGCCACTGTGATTTGCGTTGCCGGTGTAGTCACGCTCATGCAGCTGTGTGTTGCTCCCCACCGTCATCTGCCTCACTCCACCGTAGAAGCCTCTAAGCACACACCACTGGCTATTAGTGCAGATACAATAGTAGACTATAAACCAGCTATTAACACATTTTTAAGAAGATAAAATAGGAGAGAGAAAAGCAGTGGGCTATGGATTTATAGCCAGCTATAGCACCGATTATAAGATGCATGTGTGTATGACAGGTGGGACCAACTATGAATTATATAGTATACGTTCATAGATAACTATTGTATGAACCGGCTATTAAATTGACTATAGATGATTTAGAGCTGATAGTTGGCTATACTATTAAACTTGCTCTTAGTGCCAGCCGCCACACCAACTCAATCGTCTCGTTCGTCGGAAGTCGATTTGTCTATTCCCTTATAGTTAACGACATTAAGTGTACTACTGAAAGATGAATTCTCTCGATATTGCGGTTGGACAGGTGTAATACGAGGGACAAAGTCCTTCCTATAAGCCTAGGACGGAAGACGTCCTAGTACAAAATTTTCGTTCGTTCCAACTGTTGGAAATCGCCTAATGGTTATGACCTATTGTCGGAAACTGTCGGAGCAAGTTAGTGATGCCCCACTAGTTGGGCCCATGGTTTTGAGAAGATAAATAGTTGGGGAATGCCTGTTTAAGAGAATAATATCCTTGTCTCTA